AAATACAAAGTCAGAGACAGACACACGCAGTCAGTAACAGAACAACAGACTGTGAGAAGAAATACAGACTGATAGAGAAAGCGAGAGACGCAGAGACAGAGACAGTAAGGAGATAACCAGAGTGCAAATATATGTATGCATAGAGAGATGGATAGATAGATGGATAGATTGATGGATAAACTTTTGGATAGAGGGATATATAGACAGATGAGAAGATTGATAGATAGATGGATGAATAAATAGATGAATGGATTAAAAATAGAATAAATTTAAACAGTGAGAATGGTAACATAAACTGTGTATTTCTCATACTCGCCTAGTTGTGCTTGTGGGGGTTGAGCTGTGGCTCTTTGGTCCCGCCTCTCAACCGTCAATCAACTGGTGCACAGATTCCTGAGCCAACTGGGCTCTATCATATCTATATTTGAAACTGTGTATGGAGTCAGCCTCCACCACATCACTTCCTAGTGCATTCCACCTGTTAACTACTCTGACACTGAAAAAGTTCTTTCTAACGTCCCTGTGGCTCATGTGGGTACTCAGTTTCCACCTGTGTCCCCTTGTTCACGTACCCACCGTATTAAACAGTTTATCCTATTCAATATGTAAATTCCTCTGAGAATTTTATAAGTAGTGATCATATCTTCCCTTACTCTTTTGTCTTCCAGTGTTGTGAGGTGCATTTCACGCAGCTTTTCCTCGTAATTCATGCCTCTTAGTTCTGGGACTAGCCTAGTGGCATACCTCTGAACTTTTTCCAGTTTCTTGTGCTTGACAAGGTACAGGCTCCATGCAGGGGGCCGCATACTTAAGGATTGGTCTTACATATGTGGTATAAAAGATTCTGAATGATTCCTTTCACAGGTTCCTGAAGGCAGTTCTGATGTTTGCCAACCTCGCAGAAGCCGCAGATGTTATTCTTTTGATGTGGGCTTCAGGAGACAGGTTTGGCGTGATATCAACACCTAGATCTTTCTCTCTGTCCGTTTCATGAAGGACTTCTTCTCCCATTTTGTATTCTGTGTCTGGCCTCCTGTTTCTACTGCCTAGCTTTATTACCTTACATTTACTCGGGTTTAACTTTAGTAGCCATTTGTTGGACCATTCATTCAGTTTGTCTAAGTCCTCGTGTAGCCTCCTACTATCGTCCTCTGTCTTAATCCTCCTCATAATTTTTGCATCATCAGCAAACAATGAGAGGAACGATTCTATACCTTCAGGGAGATTATTTACATATATCAGAAACAGTATAGGTCGAAGGACTGAACCCTGCGGGACTCCAATGGGGAAGTCTCGCCAATCTGAGACCTCGCCCCTTACAGTGACTCGCTGTCTTCTGTTGCTAGGTACTTCCTTATCCAATGGAGAACCTTCCCTTTGACTCCTGCCTGCATCTCCAGCTGTTGCACTAGCCTCCTGTGTGGTACTGTGTCAAAGGCTTTTTGGCAATCCAAAAATATGCAGTCTGCCCTCCCTTTCTTTTTCTTGCCTGATTTTTTTTGTTGCCTAGTCGTAGAATTCACTTAATCCTGTGAGGCATGACTTGTCATCCCTGAACCCATGTTGATGTTGTGTTACAAAGTTCATTCGCTCCAGATGTTCCATTAGCTTTATTCGCACAATCTTCTTCATCAGCTTGCATGGTATGCAAGTTAGGGACACTGGTCTGTAGTTCAGTGTCTCCTGTCTATCCCCCCTTCTTGTATATAGGGACTACATTAGTTGTCTTCCAAATTTTTGGCAGTTCCCCTGTTACCAGTGATTTGTTATACACTATGGAGAATGGTAGGCATAGTGCTTCTGCTCCTTCCTTTAGGATCCAAGGGGAGATTGCGTCTGGGACTATAGACTTTGTCACATCCAACTCTAGCAAGAGCATCCTTACATCTCCACTGGTAATCCCAAACTCCTCTAGTGGTACCTGGTTAACTATTCCCTCTCTTATCTCTAGAACTTCTCCTTGCTCTAATGTGAAGACCTACTGGAATTTCTTATTCGGTTCCTCACACACTTCCTTGTCGTTTGTAGTGAATCTGTCTGCCCCTATCCTCAGTTTCATTACCTGTTCCTTCACTGTTGTTTTTCTCATGATGTGGCTGTGCAGTAATTTAAGTTGCGTCTTGTCCTTGCTTGCTTGCATTGTCGCTTTCGTATTGCCCTCCTGCCTCTTTTCTCATCCTGACGTATTCATTCCTGGCTCTCTTGTATCCTTCTCTGCTTTCAAGTGTCTTGTTATTTCTATAGTTTCTCCACGCTCTTTACTTAGTTGCTTTGCTAGTTTTCATCTCTGATTAAACCTAGGTTTCTCACCTGCATTTCCATTTTTTAGCTTTTGGACTGGGACGAACTTGTCTGCTGCTTCCATGCACTACTGCGTGATGTATTCCATCATGTCTTGCGCCGTCTTTCCCCTGAGCTCTGTTTCCCATGTTATATCTGTCAGGAATTTTCTTATCTCCAAATAGTTTCCCTTTCGGAATGCCACCATTTGGATTTCAGTTCATATAATATCACTCATATATATATAACCCACATATATCACACATATAATCCCACTTGGTCAAATAGATGTATTGATAGATGGATACATAGATGGAATAGATAGACAGAAAGATGGATAGATTTTAAATATACAGTCCACATACTAAAATTTAAATTAAGTATGTACTTAGCCAAATAATTCCATATTGTCAAAGAGATGTATAGATAGATGGATGGATAGATGGATAAATAGATGGATAGATAGATGTATAGCTAGTTGAAAAGATAAATGGATATATAGATGGAGAGATATATGAACATTTTAATTGATGGATGCAAAGATGGAAAAATTGATGGATGGCTAAATAGTTAGTTGGAAAGATAAAGAAATAGATAGATGGATTGATAGACAGATGGAAAAATGGAAGACAGGCAGAGCCTCACAATGGCAGGTATACCCAGAGTGCAGTATATATATCAGGAAGCAGTTTACATAATTGTTAAGGTGTCACACGTGTGACGATAATCTCCTTCAAGAGATTGAGCCTGCTCTTCCCTCCAAAAGACGTCGACATAAACATCTATATAAAACAAGTATGGAAGAAAAATCCAACAACGACAACACCAGCAAGGTTTGCCAGAGCGCAAAACGTATGCAGCCAGGAACACCTGCTCCACCTCAAACCGCCAAACTACCTGTCTTGTCGCCGGCTCCTCGCTGATTGGCCGTCGGTCCAGCTGCTACTGCACTCTACCCACCATACTACTTGATGTCTGGGGCCGCCACGACCTCAGTCTTCAGAATATTCAGTGCTTTTGTAAGGTTAACACGTCTTCTTGGTAGACTAAGCTGTGGCTTACGTGTACTAAGAGAGGTGATAGCTTAAAGCCAATATTCCTGCACCTCTCATTTTATTGTATATTGCACAGCTTGTTATTACTCACTTGTCTTAACGTAACTTTTCATTTTGTCATTTGATTATTCTTATTATTTTGATTGATTGATTTTATTATACGAATTTGTATGTCCATTTATTCATGTTTTGCTTTCTTTAACGTAATTAAAATTCCATTGTTAAAATTTACTTGTGTTTTGTGTGTCTTCTCCTTACCTTACCACAGGCGAAGTTCCAGATTTTCTATTTTTTTTGACTCTATGTGACGAAGCCATACCCCTAGCTTTGAACAGCCGAACACCAACGCGTTACCGTCACACACGTTACAGAACATGTAAAGTGACATGTGTGCGGAATATTTACTTGTGAAGGGAATATTTATTTTAAAAATATTAGATTTCAATAGCATCAGTTTCAGTTAAATAGTTGTTCAATTAAATTATTTTTTATTATTAGGAAAATAATGCACTGTATTTTTTAAAAACTCCATATAAATAATTCCTCACATATATGGGGGTATTTACATATATAAATAACTAAATTGAAATAAATCAGTTACTTCTTATTATTGAGACTTCAGATTATTTAAATTAACTAGATTTGGGTATTTCAAATAAGGAAAATAAATGTTAGTTTAGCTGAACAGGAGCTTTTGGTTTAGCTGGGACGCGTGTCAGTCACGTGAGCCCGACATCCCTCATGTCGACTTGTGGCTATTGTGTCTCTCTCTGGGGACGATCCTTATTCTGGATAATACCAAACTCAGTTTCTTTGAGATTGAACATCAGGCTATTGACAAATTACATTATAATATAAATCACGAATATTGTTCACTTTATTCAATTACAAATTATTGCGAAATTTTCGTCTACAGTGCTTACCCCTGGGGCTGGTGTTTCCTACCTTCTAACCATACTCTCTGTAACTATGTGGCAACACTGTTTTTTAAGGAGTGAGTACGGGACTGAGGTATTTCCCTTGTTATGGGAGAGATCAGTGAGCAGGAGCATCATAGGAGTTTCGTTAACACAAAAGAAAACCCAGCACGGCTACACTCGTGTGTCCCGCTAGGAAGTCCATGATGGACCGTCTCATCTCCTTCGGCAGGGAGCATTCATGTCCCATAAATTTTTCTCTTATTTTACAACTTAAGGAATGGTATTTACTTAAGGAGAGGTAAATACCTCTCCCGGAAGTTTCAGTTTCAATACCATAGGACTGGTAAGTCGGGAAGAGAAGAATGGGGCGGCTTCAGAAATCTTGAGCGAGGAACTGGAGACGAGGTGAAGAGGTGAGATGAAAGATCGGTGGCACAACCACCGTGGGTAAGAATTGCAGCTGATGCTGTAGTTTGGTTGTAGAGTGGAGTGTTCATTGTTGCTCGCTGATGTGTCTTGCAGGAGGCAGGACTTCTCGTCGCGGTGTTCTTTAAAACAGCTGGCAGTTGAGGGTTGATTACAGATGTTGATGTTAAATCATTTCGTTATTGGTCTTCTTTTTTGTTGACGATTTCATCAAACTCTGGTCTTTGGTCTTCTTCTTGGACTTGTCGGTCTTGGTCGTGGTAGTCTGACTTGGTGCTGGCCTTGTGGTGCTATCGTTGGGTGTTGTTGGTGAGGTGTCTTAAAGGAAATCGGCAGGTGAGTAGTGATATACCCGTGAAGGAGGAGATGGTGTTCCAACAGACACGTCCTCATGCGATTCATCAGATGAGTGAAGAGCAGAGGTGGTAGATTGCGAAGATAGTGTTCTCAAAGGTAGAGTTCTTGAAGGTTGAGTAGCAGCAGTAGGTACTGCAGCAGAGGGGACTTCATAGTATAGACCCTCTACAGGGTCACACCCAGGGTCCACTGAAGCTGAATTCACGATAGGGACGGGTGAAGGGCTAGCAACAGCCGGAGAAACATGTGGAGCAGGAGCTGACAGTAAGTCTAAAAGCGTGGCCGCGTTCACAGTGATGTCACGGTTAGTAACTGGAATTGTAGTAGAAGTGGGGGTCTCAGGAGGCAGACTCTTGCGAGCTGAAGGTACTACAACAGGATCTGAAGTCTGCATTGTAGTGGCGGAATCGTCGTCGGATGTAGAGTCGACATCCTCCACAGAGTCAGTTGCTGGAGTTGAACCCGGAGTGTTGTAGACTTCTTCAGGAACAATGAAGGTAGGGAGACCGTTCACTTTGTAGAGAATTGTCAGGAGTCTCACAAATTCTCTGGGGTTAGTGCCAGTAGTCATTCTGGCCGTCGATATGAAAGCTTTTACTATGCTAGACAGTGGTTGGCCGGGATGGGGTGGAGGCGGCAATGGCTGGCTCGATGTGTTGCTGGTTGGTTGGGAGCAAAGGCCCCCATTGGCTGGTAGTGGCAGTAGCAGTAGCAGTAGGTCTTCCTCCCAGAATCACAGGGAAAATGGCGGCTTGGACGTTGAAACCTAAAGTTGAGGTGGACGCTGATTGGTTGGTTGCACCAGGGGTGGTGGTTCCGGTAGAAGATGTGTATTTTTTCCATGTTATGGATGATTTCTTGTCTATGAGGACAACGAATAGAGATTGTAGGATGATCGCCTTTGCAAAGCAATCAGCATAGTGTCTCTGACGTGCTGATAGAATAATGGTGATCAGCTGAACAGAGGCTACACTTCTAAATACTCTGGTTACATTTGCTGGTGGAGTGGTGTACTCGTAGCACCAGAGGCACTGGTTGACTATGTGGAAACGTTCCATCTCCACACGGAATGGAGAAATGTGAATACCGAAGCTGTAAACGCCATTTCTGGTAGCCAGAATCAATGGTCTGGAAGGTATGCTTCAAGGAGCAATATCTGTTGAAGAAGTTAGCTTTATGGAGCTGTAAGCCCGGGTTGGATTCAGTGAAGTCGGTCATGAATGCGCTTTCGTCTGCTAGATCTTGATCAGCGATCCATTGGCTGAGATCATGAACAATGACAGCGTGAAGCCAGGTACTGACGTGGGAAATTGAGACAGAGGTGATGTCTGAGAAAAGTGGAGGTGTAGAACAGAACTTTGTCAACTTCCTCATCACTATGAAAGTAGCAGAGGATGTCCATGCCTTCCTGTCTAATGTCCTTAGGTGTCACTCACGCAACTTCTTTAAATAGCTTCAGGAGGGATGTCTTGGAGAACGGGTGCTCGTCAAAGAGCGTTCCCCGGATCCTGTAGCGTTTGTGGCCCATGGTGAACTTCCTGGTGGCCGATGGGTCTCTCTCTCTCTCAAAGACTACACGTCACTGGAGATTACCTCCCGTCCCTACCCGGCATAAAACACGGAGTTAGGAGTGGGGTCTAACCATCTAGAGAGACGCAAGTCTTCTGCCAATTATTTACCCACCCTGCAGCGCTAGGTGCGAGAGAGATCGTGATCTGTGATGTGATCGTGATCTGATCTCCTGGAAGGAGAGGTATTTAAATTTTCTATATATAAATTCTTTTTAGTTTTATTTGAATCTCATAATTTATTTTGTAAACAGTCGTCAGATTGTATGTATTAAGTTGTAAGTACAGACATAAATACTTTTGGTATTCTGTAAGTTCCCTACACCCACCTGATGCTGGTGCCCATCACACCCTCCTGTTTCTGTTTACCCCACACCCACCTGTTGCTGGTGCCCCCCCCACACCCACTTGTTGCTGGTGCCCCCCGTCATTCATCTGTTGCTGGTGCAACCACACCCACTTGTTGCTGGTGCCCCCCCCCCCCCCACCTGTTACAGGTGCCCCCCACCCACCTGTTGCTGTTGCCCCCACACCCACCTGTTGCTAATGCTCCCTACACCGACCTATTGTTGGTGCCTCCGAACCCAGCTGTTGCTGGTGTACCTACACCCAGCTGTTGCTGGTGCCCCCACAACCATCTGTTGCTGGTGCCCCCACACCCATCTGTTGCTGGTGCCCCACACCCAGCTGTTGCTGGTGCCCCTAAACCCACCTGTTGCTAGTGCCCCCAACACCCAGCTGTTGCTGGTGCCCTCCACACACACCTGTTGCTGGTGCCCCCCACACCCACCTGTTGTTGGTGCCCCCTAACATCCAGCTGTTGCTGGTGTCCCCCACAACCACCTGTTGCTGGTGCCCCCACACCCACCTATTGCTGGTGTCCCCCACACCCACCTTTTGCTGACGCCCCCCACTCCCAGGTGTTGCTGGTGTCCCCCCAAAACCTACCTGTTGCTGGTTCCCCCCCTCCACACCCACCTGTTGCTGGTGCCCCCACACCCACTTGTTGCTCGTGCCCCCCACACCCACCTGTTGCTGGTGCCCCTCACACCCATTTGTTGCTGGTGCCCCCCACACCCACCTGTTTCTGGTGCCCCTACACCCACTTCTTGCTGGTGCCCCTACACCCACTTGTTGCTGGTGCCCCCCACACCCACCTGTTCCTGGTTCCTCCACACCCAGTTGTTGCTGGTGCCCCTACACCCACCTGTTGCTGGTGCCTCCACACCCAGTTGTTGCTGGTGCCCCCCCCCACACCCAGCTGTTGCTGGTGCCCAAACACCCAGCTGTTGCTGGTGTCCCCCACACCCACCTGTTGCTGGTGCCCCCACACCCACCTATTGCTGGTGTCCCCCACACCCACCTTTTGCTGATGCTCCCCACACCCAGGTGTTGCTGATGCTCCCCACACCCAGGTGTTGCTGGTGTCCTCCCTAAACCCACCTGTTGCTGGTGCCCCCCTCCACACCCACCTGTTGCTGGTGCCCCCCTCCACACCCACCTGTTGCTGGTGCGCCCACTCCCACTTGTTGGTGGGGATCCCCACACCCACCTATTGATGTTGCCCCCTCACTCCCACCTGTTGCTGGTGCCCCTCCACACCCACTTGTTACTGGGCCATCCCTCACCCAGCTGTTGCTGGTGCCCACCCCCACCCACGTGTTGCTGGGGCCCCCAACACCCACCTGTTGCTGCTGCCCCCCACACCTACCTGTTGCTGGTTCCCCCACACCCACCTGTTGCTGGTGCCCCCCACACCCACTGTTGCTGGTGCCCCCACACCCAACTGTTGTTGGTGCCCCCCCCCACACCCACCTGTTGCTAGTGCCCCCCACACCCACCTGTTGCTGGTTCCCCTACACCCAGCTGTTGCTGGTTCCCCCACACCCACCTGTTGCTGGTGCCACCACACCTACCTGTTGCTGGTGCCCCCTACACCCATTTCTTGCTGGTGCCCCCAACCCCAGCTGTTGCTGGTGCCCCCACACCCATCTGTTGTTGGTGCCCCTACACCCAGCTGTTGCTGGTGTCTCTAAACCCACCTGTTGCTAGTGCCCCCAATACCTAACTGTTGCCCCCCACACCCACCTGTTGCTGGTGCCCCTCACACCCACCTGTTGCTGGTGCCCAAACACCCAGCTGTTGCTGGTGCCCCCCCCCCAACACCCACTTCTTGCTGGTCCCCCCCCCACACCCACCTGTTGCTGGTGCCCGCACACCCACCTATGGCTGGTGACCCCCCCCCCCCCTCCCAACTGTTCCTGGTGCCCAACACACACAGCTGTTGCTGGTGCCCCAACATCCACCTGTTGCTGGTGCCCCCACACCCACCTGTTGCTGGTGCCTCCACACCCAGTTGTTGCTGGTGCCCCCCTCATACCCAGCTGTTGCTGGTGCCCAAACACCCAGCTGTTGCTGGTGACCCCACACCCACCTATTGCTGGTGTCCCCCACACCCACCTTTTGCTGATCCCCCACACCCAGGTGTTGCTGGTGTCCCCCCCAAACCCACCTGTTGCTGGTGCCCCCCACCCACCTGTTGCTGGTGCCCCCACCCACCTGTTGAAGGTGCCCCCACCCACCTATTACTAATGCCCCCACACCCACCTCTTGCTATTGCCCCCTACACCCACCTGTTGTTGGTGCCCACCCCACACCCACCTCTTGCTTGTGCCCCCTCCCACACCCACTTGTTGGTGGGGCCCCCCACACCCACCTATTGCTGTTGCCCCACCCCAACTCCCACCTGTTGCTGGTGTCACCACATCCACCTGTTGCTGGTGTCCCCCACACCCACCTGTTGCTTGTGCCCCCACACACACACCTGTTGCTGGTGTCCCTCACACCCACTTGTTGCTGGTGCCCGCACACTTACCGTTTGCTGATGCCTAAACACCCAGCTGTTGCTGGTGCCTCCACACCCAGCTGTTTCTGGTGCCCCCCTCCCCCACACCCACCTGTTGCTGGTGTGCCCCACACACAGCTGTTGCTGGTGCCCCTACACCCACCTGTTGCTGGTGCCTCCACACCCATTTGTTGCTGGTGCTCCCCCTCACACCCAGCTGTTGATGGGATCCCCAACACCCACGTGTTACAGGTGCCCCCCACCCACCTGTTGCTGTTACCCCCACACCCACCTGTTGCTAATGCTCCCAACACCCACCTATTGTTGGTGCCTCCGAACCCAGCTGTTGCTGGTGTACCTACACCCACCAATTGCTGGTGCCCCCACACCCACCTGTTGCTGGTGCCCCCCACACCCACCTGTTGCTGGTGCCCCCACACCCAGCTTCTGCTGGTGCCCCCCACACCCACCTGTTGTTGGTGCCCTCCACACCCACCTGTTGCTGGTGCCCACCACAACCACCTGTTGTTGGAGCCCCCACTCCCACTTGTTGCCGGTGCCCCCCCCCCACCCTCCTGTTGCTGCTGCCCCCACACCCAGCTGTTGCTGATGCCCCCCCCAAACCCACCTGTTGCTGGTGCCGCCCACACCCAGCTTTGGCTGTGCCCCTTACACCCACCTGTTGCTGGTGCCCCCCTCACCGACCTGTTGCTGGTGACCCCTCACCCACCTGTTGCTGGTGCCCCCACACCCAGCTTTTGCTGGTGCCACCACACCCACCTGTTGCTGGTGCCACCACACCTACCTGTTGCTGGTGCCCCCTACACCCATTTCTTGCTGGTGCCCCCAACCCCAGCTGTTGCTGGTGCCCCCCAACCCCAGCTGTTGCTGGTGCCCCCAACCCCAGCTGTTGCTGGTGCCCCCACACCCATCTGTTGTTGGTGCCCCCACACCCAGCTGTTGCTGGTGTCTCTAAACCCACCTGTTGCTAGTGCCCCCAATACCTAGCTGTTGCCCCCCCACATCCACCTGTTGCTGGTGCCCCTCACACCCACCTGTTGCTGGTGCCCAAACACCCAGCTGTTGCTGGTGGCCCCCCAACACCCACTTCTTGCTGCTCCCCCCCACACCCACCTGTTGCTGGTGCCCCCACACCCA